AACTGGAAGTCAAGAAAGAAAAAGAAAGGATAAAAGTTTAGAGTCATTTGTGAATTAAGAATATTTATAGTAGTTAGTATGTTGAACAGGGCACAGCTCATAAAGTGACCAAAATGCAGCTTTTGTCTTGTCTCTCACCATCCCTTTGTATTTGATTAGGCAATAGGAGGAAGTGAAGTCTTTTTCTTGACCCTCAATGAAAATCCCCTTAGCTCATGTCTTTTCTGATTATTCTCCAGTAATTTCTTTCACTGGCCTCATAGTTATTTCTGGTCATGAACATGATCTCAGTTTTGTCATTAGAATGGCCATTTCTGTGTATTAATCAAAACTCCAAATGTAATTTAGCATTAAATCTCTTATCCCTTCTGAAATTTTGGCAGGCCAGTACCCGTAGCCCAGGAAAGGAGTGATGGCTGCTTTCCTCCTCCCACTTTCCTCCCCTCACTTGCTAGAAATGTTTCTTTATTCTCCTGGGTCATCCTAAGAGAAGACCAAATTGGGAGACAAGAACACTGTTGTGGGTGCTATTGTCTGAGGGCTTCTGGATGGCAGATGTGTAAAGATGATTCTCTAGGAAAGTGCGCTGGATTCATCCAAAGGTTCCCATTCTTGGGGATGTTTCCACAGGACAAATGTGTACTTCATTCATGCAGTTGCTTTGCCTCTTTGTGGGCTTCAGCATTCCACTCCCATCCTCCTTTATGCTTAGCTCTCATCACCTGATAGATGGCCTTATTGGACATGATTTATAATTACCCCATGCTGGCTTATCTCTTAGATGTGGGTCCATACTTGTATGCAATTTTTACGCATTCCTTGTCTTGCTACCAGTGGGAACACAGTTATTCCCAAATGCAGCTCTCTTCTTTTTTGTCTGTTGGTCTTGTCTTTTCATTTTTGCTCCCAGCAACTATGTCTTTCTCAGGCTTGAGTCAAGGCAGGATCAGTCCAGAGTATCCCCCAGTTGCTGGGAACACATATCAAGCTCATTAAGTGGTCTTGCTGAAATCCTTTCCTGCTAGGTTGAGATGGATGAGGTAATGATAATACTCCCCCACCATCTGTTGCTGAACAGAAACTGGAGTTTGCTGCCCACTGCCGCCCATCCGCAAATTCTGGAGGCAGAGGTGTGGTGAAGAAGGAAAAGGGCCTTTTATTCAAAAACTGCACAATTGGAAAGAATGGCAGGTTTCTGCCTCAGAGCCCATTCCCTCCAGAACGCCCAGAGAAAACCCTGCCACCCTCTGCCAATCAGTCCAGGGCTGCACCAGGAGTTCCTTCTCCCATTTAAAAGCACCATCCTTTGGGAAACCTCAGGTGGCTGCTGCAGGATCATCCAGGCAGCTCAGCCTCTTTCCCGTCACTGTCAGGCCTCAGGCTCCTTTCTGGAACTCGGGCACCCGCCAGCTGCCGCCGGCACTGCCCACACCGGGGGTCCAGGGCCGCTGACAGATGCGGCAGCCGGCTGTGCCCATCTTGGGCCTGCTGCGGGGCTGCTGCCTGGCCGCTCACCTCCCAGGGCCCACCGGTCTGCAAGCGCTCCGGCCCGCGTGTCCATGCCGGGGATCACAGAGGAAGAGAGAGTGAGTTTCTCCCGTCCCTCCATTTAAATCTCCCAGCTCAAACTTCCATGTGGCAGGGAGGGTCCAGCTCCCCCCGCCAATCCTGTCCTTTCCCAGGCTCTACTGTCGGGTCTGCACCTCCCACTGCTGCCGTGTTACCCTTTACGCTAACGCATGCCGCCTGCTGCATGCCGCTGTGACCTTTGGTTTTCCCTTCAGTCAGGTCCCGGAAGCGGGTAGGAGGGCTTTTCCCTTTGTCCACCACGGTCTTGTTTCCCTGGGCAAGGCAGCCCCGCCCACAAACTCACCCCGCTGTCGCGGGGCCCCGCCCCTCTGTTCCTGGCGCCACGCCCGTGTCATATCCGTCCCACCTTCTTGAAAGACAGAAGGGTTGGGGTGGACAGTATTTTCTCCACAGAAGTCCTTTAGAAATCTTCTTTTCCCCTTCTCAATTCTTGGGAAAAAAATTCTTGTAGTGCTTGAGGGAGCTCCAGAGTTGTGTAGGATTTATAGCTATTTCCTTTGTAAATTCTGTAAATAATGATTTTCTCACACACATTTTGGAGTCATTATTTGTCTTCTGTTTTATTGGTGCTAAGTCAGCAGAGCCCTCTATTAGATAGGGGGTTTTTTGTTTTTGTTTGGGCTTTTTACGGTTTTCCTAAATGTAAAAAGAACCATAATGCATAATTTGACAGGATGTTTTCTCTATGGATGGATGATTTCAGTTAAGGGAAATTAAAACAGTAGTTGACCAATATTGGTCAGAATTATTATAACTGCAAAAGTAATCCAGGTTGTCTGTTTTTGTTTTTTTGTTTCATTTTGATAATATATTTAGGTTAAATAAGATGAACTGGTTGCAGCATTCAGTCTGAAGGCTTAGTATCAAGTGAACCATCCTGCCTCAGAGATTTGTCTACCTCTCTTTCTGAAGATTGCAGTCACTCTTGTTATAACTTACTTCTGTCATTTCATTCAGATTTTATATTTCTGTAGTTTCTTTCCTCCTGTACATTGGACAGTTCTGCTTTTCTCCTGTGGTTTAATAAGCACACATTCTCTTTATTTTTATGGGGATTGCCTTTAACTTTAGACAGTCTCTTAGTTTGAGGCTCCTGTCACACCTCCCAAGACACACACAAAGCCGTTCTTGGCACAACTGGGTGAGAGTAATTTATTTGGGAGGTAATCCCAGGAAGTAGAAGTGAGAGACTACGGAAAGAAGGAGAAAAGCTTGTAGAGGGTGTATTAAGGAGCTACTTGCAACTGTGGGCAGTTGGGGATCAATCCCTGTGAAGAGCCTGATAGGCACGCCTCAGGATGGTCCTCCTAAAGCGAAGCTCAGGTATTGATCCCATCCCCCATAAGTTGAAGCTTCCTCCAGAAACATCAGTTCCCCTTAGAGGATTGGATAAACCAGGGGTCCCTTCTGAAGCATCAGAAAAAGCCCTGAGGCAAGAAAGCAGAGAGCCACCTGCACTATATGCTTAGCGTAGGACAGGCAGGCAGTGTCTCCACAGCTGCAGCCACACCAGGGCTGCGGGGACGTGGGCAGGTCCTCCAGTGTCTGCTACATATGTTGTTGTTTATTTACCTCCCTTGGTTACTCAAACCTATCAATATTATATCTTCCTCCTCTTCAGACAGGCACTTTAGCACATTCCCACATTCCTCTGCTCTCTCTCTCTACTCAGTATCCCACTAAATAATTTTGGGGTTGTTACGGGTATACTTCTTTTGATTCTTAATTTTGTAAAAATCATTGTGTTTTTTTTAGCTAATAATTTTTACTGCCCATATTTCTGGCACTATCTGCATAGATTTTCTTTCTTTTTTAAAATTACATACTTCCTCTAAGGGTTTGTTTTTTGTTTTTTGTTTTTGAAGTGTATACCTGGAAATACCCTATTTGACCCTCAAATTAAGTGACAATTAGATATAAAATTCTAAGTTTAAAGCTAACAGAGTTTTACAATAAAACTTAGTTAAATAGAAGTTAAAGTATGATTAAATAATGTTTTATTTGTAGTTTAAGTAAATATTAGACTAAGTAAATATAAATTTATTGTAATTTATGTAATTTAGGTAAATATTATATCAAGTAAACATAGATTTATTTACCAATACACTAGTGTGATCTCATCAGTTTTATTCGTCCTTCAATTTTGACAAAGTCTCAGTGTGTATCTTCCAGCCTGTCTTGCCCTTAGGCATTTTGTATGATTAATTTAATCTTCACTTTAAAATGTGTCTAGAGTAGGGAGCCTTTTCCCAGATGAAGCCTCTGCTTTTACAAGTAATATTGAATTGCTGGTTTCTCTTTCACCACACACACTTTTGCTTTTACAGTATTCTCTCTGGTGATAAATCTTTTCTGGCTTTGAGAATGTCTTAGGTAGCTCAGGTACGTATGTCTGAGTGTTAGTAGGAAACTTTTATACCTGAGGGATCTGGAAGGAAGGTGTACAGCCATTCCAGGAAGTCCTCTTCACCCCTGGGCAGTTTTTCTTGCCCCCTCTATACCAGCTTTTGTCACAGTTAATCATTTGTAAGAGAGCTTCTTCCAGAAGGTTGCAGCTTATATTTTATTTTAGATATTATCAACCTAATGTAATAGTTGATAAATAAAATATTGTCAATGAGTATAGAATGGGAATTATGCAGTTAAACAGGGTAAAAAACTAAATTAAACCTCTCTTTATTGTATATATTGTTTCTATTGGCACTGGTTCTTAAATGATGTTCATTAGCATCATTTGGCATTCTTCTACTAAAATAATAACTTGTATAGTTTTTAAAAAAGTAAATAGAATGAGAAAATTATTATTTTTTTCTCAAATTTTTCTTAAATCTGTGCTAACAGAAACTAAGAAGCAAATGGCAAATACAGGATCCGGCAGAAGTAAGGCCTGCTTGAGTGTTTTGTTATGGTAATAATATGGGTATAATAACTTATTGTTTTAATTTGAACATGTCACCTAAAATGTCATATGGTGTGCTTGAGTGTGATACTGTTATGTTATAGAATTACATGCTTATGATTTTGTAATTAAAAAGGGGCGTTATTCATGCCGGACCCTGTATTAACAGGAAGAATTTGGCGACAACCTATAATTCATGCTTAGTTTACCATTCTCTTTAGCTCTTAAAATGTAATTAAATATATCAGTATTTAATGGTGATCCCCCCAAAAAAAGTGTAATTTTGAGGGTACTTTGAAATTTGTGCAAGTTTGAGAACCGCTGTTCTTGGTAAAAATTCGTTCTTTGAATTAGAAAATAGAGTTTATACGTCTATAAGAAATAAGCAGAGTGCTAAAAGATGAACTCTGTTTATTTACATAAAAATTATTTTCATAGGTAACAGTTGTCCTCTCCCTGCATAGGATTGTTTCATTAATATAAATAACATTTTTATTTTGTGACCTTACAGGAGCCCAGGCTTGTGTGCTTGTATTTTCTACCACAGACAGGGAATCTTTTGAAGCAATTTCCAGTTGGAGAGAGAAAGTAGTAGCTGAAGTTGGAGATATACCAACTGTACTTGTACAAAACAAGATTGATCTGTTGGATGATTCTTGTATAAAGAAGTAAGAGGGCTACTTTTGAGGGGGTGGTGATAATTCTATAAAGTTGAAAGTTATTTTAATTTTTGCATAGGTTTACAAAATTTAAGGAAGTTTATATAAAGAGTGCCTTATGCTTAAAATTTCTGTGAGCTCTTCTATATGATTGGTTTGGTTTAAAAAAAATTTTATACTAAATCATAAGTAGAGAAAATTAAAAGAATAAATCTTGAAGACCCTATCAGAATTCTAGTCTTAGGTCTTTATACTACAAATCTAGTTGATTTAAGTCAAGTCCAGATATAGTAAGAATGTTAAGAAAAACATTCTTACATGTAGTAAGAACATTAATAAGATGCTTTAATATAGAGTTAGTAGTAGCCTATGTTGAGGAGTTTAAATAGATGAGTTCAGATTCATATTATTTTGTATGTTGAGAACTATTATGCTGTAATTTGTGAACAGAGTTTAGCATCCAAATAATTTTTTCCTGTAAGTATTTCCTCATTGTATTATTAAAGTTTTGCTAGCTTTGAAAATCTTTGCTCAGTTTTTACCTGTTTTATATGTTCCTATGTCAGTTGTCTGTTGCTATATTAACAAATCAGTCTAAAACTTAGTGGCTTAATGCAACAGCAAACATTATTTCATTTTCTGTAGGTCAGGAATTTTAGGTGGCTTGGGGTTGTTCTGGTTCAGAGGTTTTCATGAAGTTGCAGTCAAGATGTCAGCTAGGCCTAAAGTCAGTCACTGAAAGGCTTGACGGGGGCGGGAGGATCCATCTACGTCCAGGATGGTTTACTCACTTGGCTCTTGGCAGGGGCCTTAGTTCCTTGTCATGTGGACCCTCTGTAGGGCTGCGTGAGTGTCCTCACAGCATGGCAGCTGGCTTCCCACAGCAGGCAGTCCAGGTGAGGGCAAAGCAGAAGCCAGGTCTCTTATGACCTCGTCCCAGAAGTCACTGTCGCTTCTGTATATTATTGATCACATAAACCCAACCTTGATTACAATGTGGGAGGAGACCTCACAAGGGTAGGAAGACTAGGAGATCAGGGGTGGGGGGATGTGATGGAACCGTTGGGAACCATTTTGGAGCTTAGTCACTACAGTCTTAATAAAATCCGGAGCCCACAATCAGGAGTCATAATAAAACTAAAATTAGGAGTTCACTCTTGAGAGACAGTCACTACTGTCCTGACTTTTGACTTTGGCAGCAAAGTAGTTTCATAACCAGTAAGAGTAAAGCAGGTAATGCAGTATATGATTTTCAGAGTGTAAATAAATTCAAATGTTTTTTAAAAAAGAAGAAAGTACTATGTAAAGAAAAGTGATACTTCACTATTTTATGACTAGAGTTTAGCGATTTTGTAGAAAAGTGTCTGTTTACAGTTACAGTATAATGGTTGGTATTTATCCCCTCAAAGTGTGAAAACTACAAACCCTGTTCAAGCATTGAGAACACAGCATAGCTAGTCTGGAAGCTCTGACGCCCCTTTCCCTCAGGCTGTATCAGTAAATATAATTAAAGTGATTTTTAAAAACAAGTTATCAGAAAGTACCTTTATAAGCACTTTTTTAAATTAATGTATAGTGAGGAAGCTGAAGCGCTGGCAAAAAAACTAAAGCTGAGATTCTACAGAACATCGGTGAAAGAAGACCTAAATGTGAATGAAGGTAAACTGCCTTTTTAAAACAACTAACAGGAAGTTTGTTTTATTTTTCTTGTTACTTTTGTGGTGTTTAGAAAACATTTATAAGGAGAATAGAATTTTCTTTTGTCACATGCCATTAAAGAAAATTTAAAAACATGATACCTCTTTGAGTTAGTTTGTAATTATTTACTGATATCTTAAATACTTGTTGCTCTACAGCAAAACTCTAGTGTTTGTTTCATTTTTTATCTTTAAAAATGTAACTATGTGCATGTGTGCATGTATATTTTTTTAATGCATACTTCTTAAAATTACTGAATTGTTTTAGAACCCCACAGTAGAGGATATTCCATGAGGTAGTTAAAATGACCTTAGTTCATTCGATAATATTTTCTAGTTTACAAAAGTGAGATTAGAGAAAGATGATTGTTATTTTTCTCATTCCAGAATTTCTACTTGTTTTATTGGATAGCAACTAGACTGTTGGTCAGGTATCTTCTGGGTAGTTGCTTTTTTCACTTAAAGAAAGACATCTTTTCAAGACTTAGTCATTTAGTGTTGTTGAGCCAGTGATTACAAATATTATTTAATCTTTTTACTAATAAAATGCCACTATGTATTTATTAGTATTGCCATTCATTGTACTTAGGTATTACTCAAATTTTAAAAGTTGAATTTTTCAACTAGACTGTATACTTCTAATTTTAAATTTGTTTAGTCAATATAAATATTCTGGTAAATGATGTGAAATAACTCATTTTACCTGTATAAGTCATACTGATCTGGTAGGGTTTTTATTCTTGTTCTAATTGTAGTTTTTAAATATTTGGCTGAAAAATATCTTCAAAAACTCAAACAACAAATAGCCGAGGATCCAGAATTAAGGCATTCAAGTAGTAACAAGATTGGTAAGTATACAGGAAATTTTATGCCCATGTTTACCTAGTAATTTATTTCCCATTCATTTTTATCATATTTACTATTTTTTAATACAGTGTGCTCATTTTTTAAAGAAATGTGATTAGGAAGTTTTAGACTAGTGATTATTTAGGAATATCAGATCTCTTATTAAAGATACATTAGTTCCCATTATGGAACACATTAGATACAGGTTCTCTTCATTCCAGTATTTAGACAGTTTTGTCCATTCTGTGCCCACTGTTATATACGTACCCCTTTGACCAGCTCCACCAGACATCTTGTTCTTTCTCGAGCTTTCCCAGTGTTGTCTCCTTCACTTCTGCTCATTTTGGTTCTTCCTTCAAGACTGACTTCTCTGTCCTGACCAGTGTGACGCAGTTGGTTGGGCATTGTCCCACAAAGCAAAAAGCCACTGGTTTGATTCCAGGTCAGGGCACATGGCTGCGTTGTGAGCCCAGTCCCTGACTGGGGATGTGCAAGGGGCAACCAATCGCTGTTTCTCTCACACATCAATTTTCATCACCCTCTCTTTCTCCCTCCCTTTCCCTCTCTCTAAAAAAAGTGTGTTTTTTTTTTAAAGAAACTTTCTTTCCCATCTTCTGTCAAAGAACTATTCATTCCTCATGGCCTATCTAGAAAGCTCACTCGGCTGTATAGGTGGCCTCATGCTTTTCTTCTAAATGAACAGAGATCTAAGTCCCGATCATTGCCAGGTGTCTAGTTCCTCCTTCTTCATGTAATTCCTCCTTTCTTATAAATTAGATGTAATTGATCCTTCCTTTGAATCATCTGTTGGGCCTTAATGTCGCTTTTATGGCACTTAACATATAATGTCTTATAGTATTACCTGTTTGTATACTAACTCACCTCATTAATTAGTTTGTAAACTTAAAAAAAAAAGAAAAAAAAAAAGATTGTAAATGGCCTTGGCTGGCATGGCTCAGTGGGTTGAGAACCGGGCCTGCAACTGAAAGGTTGCCAGTTGCATTCCCAGTCAGGGCACATGCCTGGGTTGCAGGCTGGGTGCCCAGTAGGGGGCATGTGAGAGGCAACCACACATTGGTGTTTCTCTCCCTCTTTCTCCCTCCCTTCCCCGTCTAAATATAAATATAATCTTAAATATATATATATATATATATATATATATATATATATATATATAAAACATCTTACGGGCAGGAATTGGTCATGGTCATCTTTATGTTGATGATAGTGTCTCTGGCCCAGAGTTTTGTGTAACAAGGATGATAAGTAGTTCATAAAGACCAGCGTTTTTCCAAATGGTAACTGTTAATAGTTAGAAGCTTTTTTTTACGTTCATCCCTTTTATCTACTCATGACTTTAATTATCTGTAGACCATTTTGTTGCTGTTATTTTAGCCTAGATAGGAAAATCCTACATTACTACAGCTTTTACATATGTAATATTTTTATTAACAAAGTTTCACAAATACTATTGTTAACTACAAGTCATGTCTACATATGCATAAAATATCTCTGGAAGGATACATAGGAAAATTGATAAAGCATGCTGCCTTAGTGAGAAAAACTGGTGGTGGGGGATTAGGATGGAAGGGAGAACTTTGAACCAGGTGTCCTGGCCATCTAAAAATATATGAAAGCAAAAGCTTAGGATTGTAAATATCTCGAAACATTATTGATTCACTGAGAAGCTCGATGGAGTCTTCAGTAGTGATCCTGAGACGTGAGTGTCCCTTTCAGTGTCTCCTTCAATTTGTTGCAGGTGTCTTTAACACGCCAGGTGGAAGTCACTCGGGTCAGAATTCAAGTGCCCTCAATGGTGGAGATGTCATCAGCCTTAGACCCAACAAACAGAGGACCAAGAAAAACAGAAATCCTTTTAGCAGCTGCAGCATACCCTAAAATGTTTTAGGCAGAAAACGTCATGCAGTTCAGTAAGAACTATTCAGTACATCAAACTGTCATGGTATAACAAGATTTTTAGCAGACCTTGCACCTAATGGCTCTCCGGAAGGTGGCAGGCTTAAATATTGTCTTGCAGTGCTTTTCAGAATGGAGTAAGATCTTTAATGGAAAAATTACTGCCCTATGGACACATTTTTAATTTTTTTACATTAGACGAAGCTTCTCCTGTTTTTGAAGGAATACTGTAAGAACTGTCAAAAACAGGTTTTGCTGAATTTTAAATGCTAGAAAACATAAATGAAATGCCTAAATATATTGGTACAGATTTTAATATTAAGGGTCAAAGAAAGATAGCAAGCACTCTTTGTCTGAAATTGATCATCTAGCTTTTGTGGAGAATAGTATTGAATCCAAATACTTACTAAAATAATATTGAAAGGTAAGCCCTAAGTCTTGTCAGACTGCAATGTTACTTGTGCAATATCTGTGTCATGTGGAATGTGGAGGTATGAATGCAGATACTTGGTACTGAAGTAAACTGAAGGCATGTGCAGTATTTAAGGAAACATAAGATCTAATTCATTCATTCATATAGAACCACTTACACATTGTGTGTATGTTAAAAGTTTTTATTTTCAAATAAGAAATTCCAGACATATATTTTGCAAAAGAGAAGTGCTTTGTGCCAAAATATCATACCTAATTTTTACAGTGCTTTACTATCAGAATTTATATGGTTTATAATATCTTTTAAAAGCAGTTTTCCTCTCTGACAGGATAGGTAAAAGAGGAGTATAAATGTTTTAGTGCTAGAGCATCTCCCAGGTGAGATGTGTTGCAAAGCCTTTCTCCCGCTTCCCTCCGTAAGCATGGCGAGCCTGCGCTGGCCAGGTCCTCCGGCAGAGAAGCACGTCTGCGGTTCCTCCTTCGGGCTTGGGAAGTGTGGTGGTGCTTCCTGCGCCTTTGGCTGCTGGCTGAAAATGCAATTTTGAACTTTTAGGATTATGTTAACAATTTTTTAAAATGCACAAGAGATGATCTGTTGTAATCCACATTATGGATTTTATAATGCCCTGTACCTGTAAAGCATCTTTTTGTTTACACATTTTTGTATGGTATTTTAAGATGATCACTTAAACATTTCTATAACCTTTGATTTGTACAGCACTTTCTCAAGACCTCTGTCAGAAACAAAGATAAAATAATTTCTTTTACGAAACAACTTTAGTATGTAATCACATGGCAGAGTATAGATTTTTTGACTTGAGACAGTAGCTTTCCAACTAATTGCATGAACTCTGTTAAAAATAATTATCATTTATCAATGATTTTATTTTTAACCCCTTGCAATATACCTGGTTTTTACAGATTTCGAAATATGTAAAAATAACTTTCCTTGGAAAATGTGCTATAAAGTCCTTTTTCATGATTTGTACTAAACGCATAATGTTTTCTATGTTCCTTTTGTACGTTGCCTCTCCTTTGTCCTGAGCCCTCCATCTGCACCACTCTCGGCCCCTGTCCAGACTAATGCTCAGCACCTAATAGTTTTCTGGGGCGTGTCTGTTAAGTCGTCAAGAGTGGATATTCGCTTTTCATAATCTTGAAATAACCTGGCACTGTACATTTCAAAGTGCTATGAAGTGTTCATTTTTTATGTCACTCGTAGTTGCCACTCCCATTGCTGGCAGTGGGATGGGTGCTGGGCAAAACTCGGTCCCTGACAATGGATACCCGCTAGTGAGTCATCTTTCCTTTTCTACTCTCTTGAAATATAGTCCCTTTAATTTTTGCACAAAATATATTTTTCATTAGTCTTATGGTTTTTAGTAGCAGAAAAGTCACATTATGTAATATGTTGTAGTTGTATTTCATGTTAATTAAATGTGTGTTGGTAAAAGTTTGTTACTGTTCTATATAAAAAAATGTAATCTCCGATGGTTGCAGTTCCCCTGATATTTGTAATATAATTTTATGTACTTTTGTCCTTTTTCCTTTTCTGCAAGAACTGAAGAGAAATCTTGTAACACATCTGAATTTTTAATTTGCACTTCTGTATTTTAAATCTAACTATAATTAATCATTTTAAATAATTAAGTAGGCCTGAAAATCAGCCACTGGTGATAATGTTAAATACATGTCAGTTTAATTAATTCTGAAAGCTACTAAATTGACATTAGTTTTTCCCCCTGATACTCTTAATTTTTTTAAATAACTTTCCTATTAATTTCTAATGAACCATGGTTGCTGATGAAAACTTGTTTAAGACTCCAGGATATTGTACATTTGGGTTTTTTTTTTTTTTACACATTATGGCTAATCTTTAGCATACAGACATATAGCTCTGTAATAACTGCCATATTTCAAAGTTTCTGAGGTTTCCTTTTCCTTTTTCAACCTGCCTATTAAATGAAATAGTATACAGAATGGACCGTGTAAAGCAGCATAGTTAAAAGCCAGGCTAAATGGTTTTCATCTGCCCAGAGTTGACAGCATGCATGTCGTTTTTCAAAGCAAAGTAAAACTAACTCTATGAAAAAGAGGATGAACACCTTTCCTCACGGTGGAGTGAAGTTAGATGGTTGTTTCCAAAGTTGGCAGTGCAGCGCTTAGGAAGAACACTCACTGGTGCACTCCCCTGGGCCTATGACTTTTAGGGACTGGGATCTTTCCTGAAGATCTTAGAATGGAGAGTTGGCCTCAGGACCTAATGTCCCAACTTAAAGTGAACTACTTTACTATAAAAGGTTAATTGATAGAACCCTTTTCAAAACTTTTGAAATAGTTTTAGCAGTAACTTGCTAAAGTGCTCCCATCACTGTGTATCTTTCTCTGAAAACAAAATAAACTGTAAAACTTTGTCCCACACTGTACAATCTAATGAACAGGTAGATTTATTGTTTTAACTTTTAGTTACAATTATGAATATCATATGTACTGTTCTCACTCTTTAGGTTTTCACCCTACAACATGTAAGCCTATCATATAAGTGAATTTATTTGCTAACAGGAAATATTTAAAACCATAGCGGACTCCTACATAGCCAATTACCTAATTCCCAGGTAATTGGATGGGTTAGCTCTAATCTTTATTACTACTTTTCTTCTCTTTCTTGAAATATCTATAGTAGGATGTTGGTAAATGGTCTCAAAATCAAAAATTTGTATTAAAAGGAAAACTCAACCCCTTCGATATTTTTGTTACTGCTAAATAATGCTTTTGTAAATTTTAATGGAACACCACTTGTATGTATTGCTATTGGGTTGCAGTTATGCCCTTGAGCTTAATTTAAAATATACTTAATAAAAATTTCATGAAAGATGAATTCCAATAATCAAAAAATAAATGCATTTCAAAGCTTGAATTTTGTGTGATATCTATATATTCGTGGAACCAAATAGTAAAAGGTATAATGTGACTTCTTTAAAAATCAAAACAACTTAAAAATATTTCATTATTTCAGATGCTCACTCTGCCAATATTTAGCTTACTCATTTTGTCGATAGTGGATATTTAATGCAGTTTAGTACAGCGCTGTAGTTTAAGTAATTTACCTTGGAAACTAAGTTTATTTTTTAATGTATCCGTATCAGTCTGTTTTAAAAGTCGTTTCATCTTATTTTAACCCTCTCCCCCCTCCCCAATCCCAATAATATATTTACTTTGTCCTGTGGTACAAAATACAATAATTACAGTGATACCTCAGTACCTGTTAATTTGTTAATTCATTCCGGAACTTGTGATGAGTACCAAACAACTGACGACAGGTAAGATGAAGCGTTTTCTCTTGCAGGACGACAAAGTGACTCACAAGTTGTAGCAAGTGTGATGAATCCCAAGCAAGTGCAGAGTGTTGAAACACTTTTTTTCTCATCAAAATGCGACAAATACAGGGTTTGACAAGTTCTGAAGCCGAATACCGAGGTATAACTGTATTTAACAAGTGCTTTCTGTAAGCCACTAAATACCTTACATGCTGTGTCTTATTTAAAGTAACTCACAGAAGCATCATCACCCCCATTTTACAGCTGGGAGGGCAGAGATGTGCGTGGGGCCCTCTGCTGATTAAGAGAAGTGGTTGGAAGCTTGTGCCAGGTCTTCCGGCAGCAGCTGATGGCCTGTGCATGTGATGTTTTGTATCAGGCCTCATATCATCTTCAGACCCGAGGTGTAACGATTACATTTGGAGGTGTATTTAATCTGGAGATGGATGTAATACTCCCTGGATCCAGATGCTAGGTCAGTTTTCCAACTCCAGGTTTTTCTGCCTTTTCTGATACCTTTTGTCGAATTCCTGCACAAACTGTGCACTATTTAACCTGTTCTGGTCACCCCTGGATTAAGGTGTATTAAAGCTGGACTAGACACTGAAATCAGCCCTCACCAAACATATGAGGTGAATGTCAAGGGGATCTGAATGCCCACTACATGCAAAGGAAGTGTGTTCACTACGGTATTTAGTGGTTTGTGGTGGGTAATTAAAAGATTTGCATGGTCCAGTTCAAGTTGTTTACTCTTAGCTCATGATTGAAAACTTAAGAATGTGGTCATGTCCCTAAACAGAAGGTCCATTTCATTTTGCTTGCTTGTTGTGTCAGTAGACACAAAAAGAAGTTGGAGCTTACTGCTCTCCTTGTCTTTTCCAAAACTCTTTGCTCTTTGACTTTTCATTTTTGTTTTTGAATAATTGTAAAATCCATCTTTCAAAAACAGCATTATCATGTATATGCACTCCAAAAATATTAGTGTTTATCAAAGTAATGTGAAAGGGACAGATGCATGGGTGTTTCCTAGTTAAAAATCACTGAATGTAATTTTATTGGCTAGATCCTTACTCTTCTTTTTTCAGTGGTGGTTAAATTCTCTCATGTTTTCCAGTTTTAAAATGTTGAAGCAGAGTTGTCTTGTTGATCACCTCTTTAGGGTGAATTCTGAGTCAGGGTACTAGACTGAGCTTCAATACAAAGGGTCATGCCTGTGCTCATGGTGTCCTGCATAATAATGCCTCACTTGGCTAATAATATTTCATAAAATTAAAGAGAGGACACCATTCATGTAGACTACAGTGTGAATGGTGCCCCCTAGAGGATGCAATATGGTACTGGGAGGGAAGCGCAGCTGGAAGCCAGCAGTTCACATTTAGGGATTATTTTTTCAATATCAAGGATTCCTACGTTAAAATACCAGGAGGGTCGCTTCTACATCTGCCAAATTAAGATTTTAATTTATTTTTAGAGAAGAGAGGGAGAGGAACATCAATGTGTGGTTGGCTCTTGCGCAGCCCCCAAACATGTGGGAACAGAACTGGCGACCCTCTGGTTTGCAGGCTGGTGCTCAATCCACTGAGCCACACCAGCCAGGGCTACATCTGCCAGATTTCTAACTGGGCAGTGGTGTCACTCTCAGCTAATGAACAGCACTGAGTGCTCTTGTCAACTCCTCTGCAGGTCCTGTTGTCTTCCACTAGGAGAGCGAGGATGGGGGCGGCAACACCACTGGGAAGCAGTGCTCATGAGGGATGGCAAAAGGGCTGTCCTACAATTAATTGTCTATTACGTGGGTGTCCCTATCCCAATCAGGGCCATTAGGGAATATATCAACATAGATAAAACATACACTCTGAGTTCCCTTAGAATCCTGTATAAAAGATGACCGTTGAAGGTAAAATTGTGGTGTTCTGAAGTGTCATTTGAAAATAAATCATACTTCCAGTCTTAAATGAGAACACATTGAGATCAGTGCCCCTTGAATGTGGCTCAAGCTGGTGGTACGGAGGGCTGAAGGCCAGCAGACCAGGACTGAAGCAGCTTGGAGATGCTGCTTTACGTCTGTGATGAGGAACAGCCTCAGATAAACTCCACTGCAAAAAAAATGAGAGACAATGCAAAGAATACAAAGGTTGAGGAGGCAGAACTGGAATATTTTGTGGTAACGTCCCGGGTGGACATGGCGTCGATGGGAAAGGGGAGTACTTCTCTGAAGGGAAGGGATTTGCAGGTGCTGACAGTCCCTGAGAACTTGAGGAAAGCTAGATCATCTGTTTTAATTTTCAAAAAGCTGATAAACAGATGGCACAAAACATCTTTATCTGACAGTGAACCTGATGACAGCAAAATAGAATTTGCTGACAAATCAAGAGGCTTTGCCACAGTTATCGATGAAAATTAGTGTTTCCCATGAAACGGGAAGACTTAACATGAGGCAGACTGGGGGTGGCAATCAAAGCAATCATGAATGTCCTCAGATTGTAATTACTTTTAATGAAGAGAGACTGATTGGGCATTTTTGTCTGGAAAACGAAAGTTCAATATTTTCATTGATATGTATATATAAATATACATTGATATAAATATCTGAATCTTAACTTTTTTTCCAGTGTGAAAGAATACTTGTGTTTTAATAAAAATTGAGTTTGAAATACTTGTTTTGCAGTAGTATTTGGGAAAGTTGAGGGCTTTGTGCATCAATAACACTCATAATAAATACAAGTATTTTATAGTTGCTTCATTTGTTACAGATAAAATAATATACTAGTCAACCTTGTTAGCAAACAAAATGCAAACTAAAGGTGTTTCATTATCTTATGTTAGAAAAAAATGCTCAATGCTGAAAAGATTTCGGTGAAATGGCTGCATTTTAATTACTGAAGACAGTATAAATTGATGTGATTACACACACTCACAAAACTGGACATGTGTTAGGCCATGAACATGTATATACTCTTTGACCCAGCTGAGAATTTATACAAAGAAACTCAAAAATGAAAGGAAATAGATCTATGTACATAAATATGTTGCAGTAATAGCAACAAATGGGAAACAGCCTAAGTGTCTAGTAAGAAGTCTGGGTAAGTCAGAGGTCTTAAAGTGGACAATTTAAGCAGACTTGATAGCAGCATTTAAGTTTTTAAAGACAAGTTACAACACTGTACTTAATGATTGAAACTTTAAGAGAATGCATTTGGAAAAATGAAGTGGATATACAGTTGTTCACAGTGGTAAAAATCAGATGTGAATTTTTTCACATTTGTCATGTTTTCATGTCTATCAAGAAATACATTCAAATGAGATGCATAAATCTTTAAGTTCAAAATAATTTGATACATGTCTAAAAAAACCTGCTGAATGAGAGAATGTAGGGAAAGGTTTTTATTGTGTGATCTCTTTTATCCCTGTGAGCACACTGCTTGGCTAACACTAGACGTGTCTAAGTGTGTGCGCTGCGTGTACAGAATTTCTAGTCAATAGATGCCCCACGTGTCCATGTGCCTCCACACCAGACAAAGCCCAGGAAAGAACAGTGATTCTTTTGCCCCTAGCTGAGCACTTACTTTCCCACACATACAAAGTATTCATCCACAGAACTGTAATATATATATATTACTATATATATATATAGTAATTGTATATATGTAATATATATATATAGGGTGCTAGCTCCTAGTACAAGAATTCAATCTAAAAACAGGAAGATAATTAAAATATTTCTACTTTTAAGTGTTGCTCACAAAACTGATGGCACTGGAATATTTTCATTATCTGAAACAACTTTCAGTATCAAATGAGTGGTTATGCCTAGCATAAAGTACCAGTTATCACTTAAAATAGGATTTTTATCACTTTTACATCATTATTTGTAAGTGCTCTCAGGTTTGAAAATTAATTAAATTTGCTTTCAGTGTTTTGTTGCAGAGTTATGGAGCCAGGTCCTTTAGAATGCTCTAACAGCTTGATGGCCTTGTCAGAGTTTTCAATATTTCTAAGTAGAGTCTCTAATCGTCTCTTAATTTTCTTCTGATCTTCCAGAGCACAGCCAATTACTATGGATTGAAACTTCTGATCAACTGGCCCAGGTGGCACCTCAGACGAACACGCACTGTACAGTGACATCAAGTGACTCTTGGCATTTCCTAAATCATCCAAAAACTTACTGACCACCTCATCAATAATCCTGGTGGCATGCTTTAGAGATTCTTGCTGCTGAGGGTTTCTAATTGTTTCTACTGAAACTTCTACAGTGAGGGTTCGTCCCATCAAACGGTTTGCAGTCAGATTTAATTCTTCTCTTTCTCCTAAACATAAAAAGTTTGAAATATCAATCAATATGAGACATAAACATGTTGAAGGGGTCCAGAACAGGCCTCCCCAAGATGTGCTACACTGGCATGTGAATTATTTTGAGCTGAAGGCACTCAAGACCCTGAGGGTTCATGAGATGCTCTTACCTCAACCTTAAAGAATTTAAATTAGGGGTCTTGCTCATATAAGAGTTATTACCAGAGATAACTTTTATGACCTATCCATAGGGCAGGGCCAACTTCTAACAACTGAACATCTGCTCTTCTTATCAGCTTGCAAATCCCCCTCCTCCCCTCTGAAGCCCTAGGCACCCTGCCTCATGCCTTCGCTCACAGTCATGTATACCTCCTTTTCCCTGTCTGTCTCCAAACCTCTCATGCGTGGGAGGGTGTCTGACTCTCTCACATATGTGGGGTTCCCATAGGTACGTATGTAATTAAATTTGTTATTTTTCTGTTGGTCATCTGTCTCATGCCAATTTAATTATTAGACCAGACAAAAGAACCTCTAAAGATAGAGAAAAGTTTCTTCCTCTCCCAACAATGTCAAGAACACTAGCATTCATTTGTGGCTAAATTTATTTTCTGTATTCACCTCTGCTATGAACTTGCTAAGGGTTAAAGTTAAAACGATAGCATGTAAGTTTAATTGATGAAGTGCATTGGATAATAGAGGGAGGTTGTACAATACTTTTCCCTGAAAGTCTATGTAAATGGAATACCAGATGACTTCTCAAGTTGTCATGTTTGCAAAAGTTTAGGCAGGTTTGCATTAGCACTGGGATGGAGATCAAGTCTCAACACAGAACAGCGAGCATAACTAGGGCTTTATGCTGGGTAGAGCAGCAGAGCTAAGGTGCCCTGGTTCTCTCCGTAAGGAGGTACATGTGGGGAGGAAAATTAATTCTCACTCTACCTTACTGAGTTCTTTCTTGTCTGAGAATACCTGTAATAAAAGATTAACAAGGAAGAAAGAAAAGTATATTGACATGTCTACCTCACATATACATGAGAAACTGAGTAACTCTCTGAGATGGCCCAAGCCACTGCCTTGAATACCATCTTTGGCTGAAGACAAAAGATGCTGGGAAGGGAAGGAAGCCAGTTATGGGAGGCTACCAGGGAAAGCACAGTAAACAAGGGTAAGATTTAACTACAGTAGGTACCTCCTCTATTGGTGAGTTTCTTATAAACGGAAATATACTTTATAAATGGAAATATCTCTTACAAAAAAGGATAACGTCTCTGTTTTCAGAGCTTTTCCTGTGTCTGCAGTTTCTCAAAAATAATCAGCTCAAAATCATCTTATGCCAAAGAGGCATATTTTCGGGTGGTGTATTCTGCGTGTTCATCAGAATACAATGCCCCAATTTGGGCTGAGAAAACAGCCACAAAAGTGAAGAAAAGCTGGCCTCAAAGTTAGCCATCGACTTCACCCCCTCGAGACAAACTTAAGATGGCCCGTGGTCTGGGTGTTGGCCAGCAGAGAGAGGCAAGGATGGGAAAGGGCTCTGCCAACATTCCATTATTTACATGAAAAAGTCAGCAATCCCCTGTTTGTCTCATTCTGCAACTTCCTTCCCAATTCACTGATCTTTGGCCAGGATGGTGAGGAAACCCAGGGTCTAGCGGAGCTAGACCCTGACCCCGCTGTGCACTCCGGGTTGGACCGCACGCTCACCGCACCAGCTGCCGGGCCCTAGCTTGTCCTGCAAGGCACCAAAGGAGCTGACTTAGAAGTCCATTGCCAGTGAAAGAAAACCACCAGTGACCTGTTCCTCCGCGGACAGTCATGCTTTCGCATGAAAATGATAGCACACTGTTACATTAATGGGGTTTTATTGGATCTATTATTTTCTCCTCTTCCCCTCTCGTGTCAATTTAATTATTAGACCAGACAAAAGAACCTTCCCCTTCTCCTTTTCTCCTTTTCCCTCTGCTTTTACATGTTCTACATTCCAATAGCTTCTATAGAACTGAAGTTAGGAGGAGAACCTCAGGTCCAATTCTTGGCCTTACTGTGTGGGGCCAGCTTCTCTGCCAGAGGAGCCTGTAGGCGTTTTCCTGTCACTCCCAGCCGGCCGGGCCGGGGAGTACAGTATGAGAAAGACCTCTGGGTAAGTGGCTCTTGTGAGGAACTGGCAGCAGCAGCTGCTGCCTGCTGCTCACAGTAACTGCTGAAATCCAGTGCACTCACGCCACAAGTCAGGTAAAAACCCACCCACGCTTATCATAAACCCCTTAAAGGGTAAAAAGACAAGCCCCCACGTGTGGAAACAGCTCTCACCATCACTGATCTGCCTCATGTCCTGGCTGTTTTGGATGCTGTGGATCATTTCCAGGAGGATTTCTTTCTCTTGCTCAATAGCAGTTGCGGCTTCTCTTAAAGCTTCCACTCTGTGTAAATGAGGAAAACATAACAGTCACTGTGTGGAAGATCAGCTTTCCTCATCTTTCTATCATTCAACTCAAGTTTAAAGATCATTAGGAACACTTCTCAAGAAGTCTTTGTATGCTTTTTTTACTTTCCTTTCTCTATTCTTTTTTTTTTTTTTAAATACTTTTTATTTTTAGAGAAGGATAGAGAGGGAGAGAAACATCAATATGCAGTTGCCTCTCACACACCTCCTACCGGAGACCTGGCCCGCAACCCAGGCCCATTCCCTGACTGGGAATCGAACGGGCGACCCTTTGGTTTGCAAGCCAGCACTCAGTTCCCTGAGCCACATCAGCCAGGACCATTTTTCTATTATTTTTTTTATCCACTTATCCCACTCTCATTTTCCTCCCTGCTTATAGGGCAATCATTCTGTTTAGTAATTATCTATTTGTTCTTACAAAATATGTATTTGTATATTCATATATTTTTAATTTACATCTCACTCTGATTCTTTTTTTACTCAGCATCATTTTATTAAGAACCATCCACGTTCCTCTCTGTACATCAAATCAGACGCCTCTGACTGTTGCCTAACACTCCACAAGTATATCCACCTGATTTTACCTCCACTAACACTCACCTTGTCCCTCTGCTATTCATCACTACAAATAACACTTCGATGAATACATGCCCCCTTAGGATATATCCCAGGGCAGAGCTGCTCAGACATATTCTGTGTTTGTTCAGTTTGACTCAGTACTAGGATTGCTTTCTAGAGTGGTTGGACCACCAGGCCATGCTCCTGGCAACAAAGCCTGGGAGTCCTTCTATTCCACACCCCTACCAGTACTCAGCATTTTCCAATTTTATAACTACTTGTTGTCTGTCTAGTAAGTATAGTGAAGCCTGCTCATAGGCTTTGCGTATTTTCTTTTTTTATTTTTTAAACAGGTGTTGCTGTCCTCTTGTTGATTTGCCTACTGAAGGTGCTAATCCCTCGTTGGCTACAGACAAAGCAATCGACTTCTCCCCTCCTCGCACCGTGGCCTGGGGATAGCCTTCACTGAACAGAGATCCTTATTTTGAAGTGATCAAATTCATCTTTTCCTGGTTTTGTCAGCCTTACGGTTGATGCTTTTGAAATTTTGATTCAGGTTCTCCCCCATCCCTAGGTCATAAGATGTTCTCCTACATTTCCTTCTATTAACTCTATGACTTTACCTTTGTCATATTTACATCTTAATCCATCTAGAATCTACCCTTGCATGTAGTTAGGTTAAAATGTTGTTTTACTTTTCTCCCAATAGTGAACCATTTTCTCCAACATTATCCACCAAAACTCTGTCTTTTCCCCAATGATTTATAGATGGTCTACCTCTGAAATCTCTATTCTATTTGACTGCTGTTACACAAATACCCACTTTAAGAACTAGAGCTAGTCTTATAGTATGCCTTAATAGGTGGTAGGAACAGCACCCTAATCTTTAAAGAAAACTTAGCTATTGAGACTTTTATTCTTCCACATAAACTCTAGAGTGAGTGTATTGGGATTTTCAAAAAACTGGGGTAAATTTGACATCTTTGTAATATTGTCATTCCATGCAAGAGCATGATATGTCTGCATTTATCAGACCCTCTTCTATATACTCCATTAGAGTTTGAAGTATTCTTAATGGTAGTCTTGTGGACTCTTGAGTGTTCTAGATACTTTGTGGATATTGTTACTACTGTGAATAATATATTTTTAATATTTTCTAGTTGGTTATTTCTGGTCAGAGAAATGCTGTTTTTCTAGGTTTATTTTGTAACTAGCAACCATGACTTACACTTAATTTAAATGCTTTGTCTTTTGATTCTATTGGTTCTTCTAGATTGATGATCATAAAATGATAGTTCTTATGTCTTCTTTCTCAATGCCATTAGCCCCTATTTTTCTTTATATAGTACTGACTAGAGTCCTCTGGTACTCCATATTAAACAGTGGTGGTAAAGAGAGGTTATCTTTGCCTTTTCCCAAATTTAAAAGGAAATGCCTATCTAATTTTCTGATATAGAGCCATGATCAAACTATAGAAGTACTACTTTCCCCAACTCCCTCAACTATACATTCACATACTTGTGACTACACATATGCATGAATATACCCAGTCACTAAAGAACTAGGCTGTGGAATCATGAGAGCAAGGAAAAAAAAAAGTCCTGTATATTTAAAGTGTTCTGTTTCCAGGGCACTTTCTTGCTGTGTATTACACCACAGCTAAATAAGTTGCTAACTTTTCCAAAATAATCAGTGACAGACCCATCCCCAGTTTTCAGGTGGCCTTAGAAAGACAAGGACATGGAAGATATAATCCTGACTGCTGCCTCAAGGGGGCACAGAAGGAACCACCTCACCAGTGTTTTAGCACCTGTCCACTCCATATAAAGGTCCCCCCAACCCCCCTCCTCATCCCAGCCACACATAGGCCTTTTCCCCAACCATTGCCCACCTGTTATACCCCAAAAATAGCACGCCTAAGCAGAAAAGTCACAGTGGCTCTGTATTCATCAAGATGTTAAATATATGTTGGACTTTGTGTTTCTAAGAGCCAAAGCAAAGAGCTGGTAAGAATCTTACTATGTAACAAATCTGGCTAAAAAACATAATAAAAAAGAATAATCTATAAAATAGGAATAATGCTGCATAAGGCTATTTCTAGCACCATTCATCATGTACGTAAAGATTTTACATTCGCAAACTCTCAGACAGGTACCCTAGGGCCCAGTACACATGAAAGAGACTGAGTTGGCACTAATGTGAAATATTTATGCTAAAAACACAAACCATGACCCTAGTATTTAAACAACACAGATGGACCGTGTGACTGGTAAATGAGAAGATGCTGAAAGAAGAGATTAATTTTTTAACACTCACGTTTGTATTGAAATGTAAGATGATAAAGAATTGAAAGTTTTCTAAAAAGAAAGGCTTCATTTTCAACAAGTTATAATAGTAACTTCATGGTTTTAACAAAAATGGTTTAAAAGGAGACACTCTAGAAAAAAATATAATCTGTCACATGAAGTTTATCTTCTCAGTAAATGAGACCAAATATATAGGAAATTAGATGGAAATTTTATGGGGGTTTTCCCCCCCATAAGGCTAGAAATTGACAGGGCATACTGCCTGTGAAAAACCGATTTCATCTTTTACAAAATGCCTTAGTTTTCAGGTAATATTCTTCAGAACCGAGGGTTTTTTTGTTTTGTTCTGGCATTCCTGACTTTCCATTTGCTATTCCCTCATCTGCAACATTCTTTTTTTCTTTTCTTTTAAAGATTTCATTCATTTATTTTTAGAGAGAGGGGAAGGGAGGGAGAAAGAGAGGGAGAGAAGCATTGATGTGCGAGAGAAACACTGATTGGCTGTCTCTCACACACCCCCAACTGGGGACCTGGCCCACAACCCCGCACCTACCCCGCCTGGAATTGAACCAGTGACTTTTTTGGTCCACAGGCTGGTGCTCAATCCTGAGCCACACCAGTCAGGGCCTTTTTTCTTTTTAATCCTCACCTTGATTTTAGAAAGGAAGGGGGAGAGACAGAGAGAGAGAGAAACATCGATTGATTGCCTCTGGGAGTGTGCCCCAACCAGGGACCGAACCATACTATAATCTAGGTATGCACCCTACCTGGGGATCCAACCCATAAACTTTTGGTGACTAGATGACATTCCACTTGAGTCACCCAGCCAAGACTACTGGTATTCTTAAATCCAACTCCTATAATCTTTTGGTCTACCTTTCAATTAGTTCTAGACAATGGTTAGCTGTTGTATTGTCAAGTATTTCCTGTCCTCCATTCCATTATTTTCTCCTGGAACTCAGGTTAGACAAATGTTGGGCCACCTCACTTTATCCTTCCTGTTTTTTTAATATATCATTTGACAGTACTTCCCTTGGCAGAGAGGGGCAGTTCTGTTTTTACTAACAGATCCTGGAAGCGGCTACAAATCCAAATTGGGAAGGAACTTTTTCTCACATCAAGGCTGCCCTGGACTGTGCCTCTGCACGAAAGCTCTCTGCAGGAAATCACAACTAAGCAGGCTTTAACCAAAAGGAACTGTGGTCAGAATATTCACAGAAGGACAGAACTGAAGTGCACTCACTTCAGCTAGCGCTCTGGCCTCCGGCACCTCACAACCCTCTGCAGCCTGGGTATCAAAAGACAACTTGTCAGGAGTCTTAGGAGAGACCCAACAGCGACTTCAGACTGTAGCTACTACTGCGTCAGCTAACCCAGGACACGGGAGACCCTGCAATGGCTTTTCAGTCCAGCTTTTCAAACCCTCAGTAGTTACTCAAACTCTTTCTCGCCTCAATTTTCCTCATCTATGAAACGGGGATAATGAGATGGTGGTTGTGACTGAGCAAAGTCAAGCAAGTGAAGAAATGAACACAGTAACTGACAATATCAACTTAAAAAAAATATGTACATGAGTTAATTATGTGAAATGGGCCCAGAATTGGTGCTGGTAAACATCAGCTTCGTATTTATTATATATTCGCCATTATGAACTCGGGCTTACAAATAACAGGAATTTGTGTTTTCAAAAAAAGGAATGAAAATGAAAAGTGCTCCTACCATGGATTTATTTGACAGAAATACTTTCTAAAACGGGTTCTTTAAACCATAGTCCTGTCTCTTATTTCAATACTCTTTTATCAAAAGACTACTACAATGACCACTCATATTTTAGGCAGTGTAAGATTCTGAAGGGTTTTCCTGGTCATAACCAAAATATTACATTACATTCACTATTGAGACACTTTGGTATAAAAGTGGGACTGGTGTTTAGTGTGAGGAGCAGCTATTCATGAGTAGCATGGTCTCAGGCAAGCCACTCAGTCCCTCTGGACCTCAGTTTCCTCATTTTGAAGAGAGATAACATCGGCCCTCCTAGTAAAAGGGAGGTGTAAGTTTCAAATGACAATGTTTATGAAAAGTGCTCTTTTAAATTATAGGCTGTTATACAATATTAACCATGACGCCATCTTCTTTTATGACTCCTGGGACCCTGGCACACCCTGAGGAACTTTAAGCAACAGGAAACTTTCGGTCGGATAAATGATCCGTATCACCTGCCTTCACCCCCTCCAGCCCCCCTTCCCCGGCTGCCATGTAAACCCCTGCAAACGGCTGATAAGAGGGAGAAGGAGCCACAATATGACCAGTTAGGGAAAATTTGTGAACAGCCAACCTCCCGTCCTGCCACCTTCCCCTGTGCCCTTCTCTGCGACCCATGTCCCACCTTCATTACCATCCAGAGCCTTCGAGGTGCCACCCAATACCTGGCACAGAGTGGGTGTTTAACAGTTACTGAATTAAACACTAATTCAAATGGGATTTTCACCCCTTTCAGTAAAATCGTATACTCATCCTTATAGTTCCTGCATTTTAAAATGTGACACATTTAAGAAAACCAGTAATGAAGTATTCAGCTCTACAGCCAGTCTTCCTGGGTTCTAGCCATGTGACCTTGGACAAGACATTTAACTTGTTAAGTTTCAACTTCCCAACAGGAGAATGGAGATAATAACTTCCACAAAAGCATGGGACCTGCCATATAGTCAGTGCTCATTAAATGAATGTTAGCATGTATTAGTTGTAATTACGACAACTTAAGCAAGGCGATTTGAGCCACTATGAATGCAAGAATCAGACACCATTTAGAACTGGTGATGAAAACCAGGAGATAAAGGGTCACCTTTGTAGAAGGAGTCAGAAAAGAAAGGCCAGTGCCATGGTAAAACTGGAAACAAATGGTGTTTCTTCAATGATTTGTAGGATGCTGACAAATATCTTAAACAGTTTAAACATCACATACATTGACCAGTTCAACTCCAGGTACAAAAACATTCTGCATAATTCTGATTTCAGAAGTTTCTGCCACAATCTACACAATTACTATTGATGAGAAACTATACATGCAAGCTTCTGTGTATAAACTCTACCTAATACAATGCTTTATTGGTCATTCTTAATATAGAATCAAACTAGTAGAGCAAAATTACATAGAGCATGTTTTTTCTTAAAAATTCACCTAGGCATAACTCTAGTTTTTAACAGTGTAGTGCTCGGTGAATTTGCCCATGTGGTTTCAAATCAACTTTAGTGGATGAGCATTTGCATTTTTCTCTATTTTTGCTCACTTTCTGAAATACTTCCTCACTGTCCAGTCAATATTACTTTTTTAAAAGAAAGAAGTAAAACTTACATCAGTCTAAAATTATGAGAGTCAAGAGTCCTTACAATGAACAATTCAACACAATCAGTCTTCCCTGCTCAGCTCAAGTGTTAATTAAGAAAGTGGTAGTTTAATCATTTGTACACAGCAATCAGAATTCATTTTATATTAATCAATATTAGAATAAAATAATACTCAAAACCAGAGGCTTTCTTTTAGAGATGAGTACTTGACTTTTGTGCCTACCAGAAACGAGGCATTAATTCAAGTTTGAGGACAAATGACTTAGCTTGAAGAAGGAGAGGGAACGCCCTCATTCCTTTAAGGAAAAATCCTTTCTTTCTATTTAGGGGAGTAAGACCTCTGAAATGGTTGAGAACACGCCTTCCAAGCTCTAAAGGCTGGGGGAGGTGTGTGTTACTTGTTACACTATATAAAAAGAAATATTCTTCAAAAGGACATTAAGTATCTGAGGTCACTAATCTCTAGTTTCGCTCCACCTACTCTGAGAGTTGATGTAAAAATGTTAATGTTAAAAGTAATGGAGAAACAGTACTTTTTCTTGTTCTATTTTTCTCCTTTATAGCAGAACCCCAGAAAAGTGGTTTTGGCTCAGTTTTCTCTAACTGTTGCCATCCATGAGATCATTGTGGGTGGAGAATTTCTCATATTCCGATTCCTTTCTTGGGGTAGTGATAATGAATGCCTCATTCGCTAAGATACACTGTGGTTATTAATGCACTTCCTTGGAAAATAGACACATCTTCTTGTTTCAGTGTATCAACCCAGGGAGGTAAAGCAATGCCAAAATTTAATAAGACATTTAGGAATTCTTTACAAGCCTACCACCTCATTACTGAATAAAATTGTAATCAGTTAAGAGGGAAAAACGGACTATCTTATCCTTTCAGGCCAGGAACTAGCATTCCGAAGAAGGTGTCAGCACAGCGTCTCCTATGGAAGGAGGTACAAAATAAACACCCACAGTAACAGAGGTCTGAATACAGGATTAGGGGGAAACTGGAAGCGGCAGGGTCTTTACTCCACAAAGTACCAAGCTATCTTCACCCAGCACTGCCTCGTGCGTCCTACTCCTCTCTAACCCTTGCTATAGGATGGATTCCCCGATTTTTAAATGTTTTGTCTGAATGTTTGGAAGCAAAGAAACTCATCATTCCCATCAAAGACCGCTCATCTGCTGCCTCTGTTCAGAATGCATAATAGGTAATGAGTAAGTTGAAAACTGTTGGGAAGACCATACACCAGCACCCAGAAGGTTCCAGAAGTTCTGCAGACTCGGGGTGTCACCGACCCTAATCTCAAATGACGTCCCTTTTATCTTCTCAGATTTTCTGCGCTCCCAAACGCTCAGTTCTGTTAAGGAGCACGTGGTCACCAATACGGCGCTCATGGGTTCTGCTTAAATCAAATGCGTTCTCTCTCGGACCAGGAGAGGAAAATCCACCCCCAAACGCAACTGCACCATGTCCGGGGAAAACAAGTCTCCGGCGCGCAGTGCCCCCCGCTGCCGCCGCGCTCACCTGAGCTCCAGCTGGTCCAGGCTCTCCAGCAGGCGGCTGGAGCGGTCGGCCATGGAGGACGAGCGGCAGAAGCGGCCCTCGTTGGCCTTCGCGTTGATCTTCGCTTGAGCCATCGGAGCCTGAGGGGGGACGGCCAGGAGGTCACGGCCTCTCCAGCGACAGCAGCGAGTGGAGAGCTCCCGCGGCCACAGGCGGCGTCGTCACTGCGCGGGCACCCGCCTCCCTCTGACGCCCGCGGGGCGGGGGGACGGGGCGGCCCGGAGGCGCCGGTTCCGCAGCTGCCGCGTGGCCAAACAAGGGCAGGCGCGCCAGCGGCAGGCTCGGGGGCTCCGGGCCTGGCCGGGGGAGCGGCCAAAGCGGCGTCGGACACCTCCTGAAGGGGCAGACGCAAAAGGGGAGGCCCTAACGCGATCTGGGGATCCTTCTGCTCTGCTGACCCTGGAACAATCGAACTGGAGCGGAGACACACAGAATAGCCCCACCCCCACCCCGCGCGGCCGGACGCTCCGTGCAGCCCCAAAGTCACCAACTCCTCACAAGCCAAGGGACCTAACAGCAGGCTGTGGCTGTATCAGTGATGGCTCTGCTTAGTTTCTCCCAGCCCCCATAATTCACAGCAAAGACAAAAACGTCCAAGTCCATGGATAAATGGAGAAAAGGTCCCTTTGGGAAACAAGGCGGCATTTAAGCAGAGCTGCTAGGCAGTCCATACTTGCCCCCGTTACCACTTCGCTAAGATGAGAATGATAGCCTGGATGACACTATAAGGTAGTTATTGGGGGAAAATAAAAGTCTACCCAACTTGGTTTCCAATTGGATGTAGGAAGCAAGGTGGACTGAGTTCAACACTTCTAATGAAGTGATTTTTTTAAATGACTTTTTTCCGTATTAAAAAAAAAAAACATTCTTCTTGGAATTTGAGTGAAACAACTGGTTTACTTAAGGCCATTTCACACCCAATTTATGTAAATCTGTTAAGAATGAAAAGATGCACTAAGTCACCAGATCAGTTACTATAAAAGTTGGTAGAAGTAGAGTAGGGCTGGGAGTTCAGATTTGTCTACTTAAAACTTGTGATTTGCTCCTGTCTCATTATAGCTATATGCTTAATATTGCAAAGATGAGAATGTACAGAACACAAAATGATAGGTAATAACAGCTTAAAGGTGAATCACAACCTTTAATCTGAGATCAAAGCTATTTAAATGCTTGAACAGAGACAAGGCCCATAACTCCCCGTACCCAATTCCCTCAGACCTCAATCTAAAACACTAGTGAACTTTCGGTGCAGGGGACTACTTGACCTCATTAAATGTATTTTGTCCTGTCATGATACAAACTTGTAAATTGACGATATTCTGTGAATGGTTTAAAAGTCTATCAAGTAATCTTAGAATCATCCCAGATGCTCTACCTTCAGAATATATCGAAATCTGTCTCCCCAGTTTCACTGCCACTACCAATTCTCACCTGGATGATACTGGAGTATCCTCCTGTCTGGTCTTGCCTGCTTCTACTCTTGCCTCTTGTGTATGTTCTCACTGCTGTACCTTCAGTAATCCTTCTACAATAAATAAGGCAGATCACACAACTTATTCTCAGAAACCTTCAATAGCTCTTCATCTGATTAAAAGCCAACGTCCTCAGGAAGGGCCTCAGGGACTTCGCCTATTACTTTCCTCCCTCATGATAGCCTTGTTGCTTTTCCATGGGTATACCAAGCTGACTTCTAGACCTTTTCACCCTCCAGATGGCACTCTTTTCCTCGTACTATTTACATGGCTCACTCCATCAACTACTTGAGGTCTTTGCTCAAGTTCATCTTATCAGGATTCTTTCAGACCACCCCATTAAAAATAACAGGACTCCCCCACCCAACCCCCATCCTGTATTTCCCTTCCCCATATTCCTTCATTACACTTAAATCACCACTGGATGTACTTGCTTATTTAATGCTCTATCTGACCTCCTCTCCTACAATGTGTGCTCCAGAGTGGGCTTGGTTTTGCTCACTGGTGTATGTATCTCAAATGCTTAAGAACAGCTGCTGGCACATGGAAAATATTCAATAAACATTTTGTGAATGAATGAAGAATGATAAATCAAAAAGATAAGCATCTTTATCAATGTTAGAAACATTTACTTTGGTAATTGAGTAATCCATATAACTTTCTGTAATGTTGCCCACTGATTACATCTCCCCCTTGTATCTAAATAAATTTCAAATTATAAAATTTTAAAATGATTTTAATTGCTTAACAAGTAGAAATACAATCAGCATTATAACTTTGTGATATTATCCATTGATTACATCTCCCCCTCATATCTAAATAAAATTCAAAGTATAAAATAATTTTTAAATGATTTTAATTGCTTAACAAGTAGAAGTACAAACATTAAACAACTCAATTACTTTTTAAGGGTCATGATGAAAAGCTTCAGTTATCCTCTACCATATACACTCCAAAAACTTCTTTAAAATCTTCACTTGAGGCTATGTTCATTGATTTTAGAGGGAGAGAGAGGGAAATATTGTTGTGAGAAAGACACTGATTGGTTGCCTCCCATACATACCCTGACTGGGGATCAAACCTACAACCCAGATATGCCCCCCAACCAGGAATCGAACCCACATCTTTTGGTGTACTGGACAATGCTCCAACCAAGCCACCGGGCCAGGGCTAAAAGCTTCTTAATAGAGCATCAACGTACATCATACGTGTGTGGTACCTCTGCAACAGAGGTGTAGTTTCCTCTTCTCCACATCCGTTTAACCACGGTTCTTTCTGGAATGTCCTTTATGCTCCTCACTATTGCGCAAGGTGCAGATGTCTCTAGGGTCTGGCTCAGTGAATACCACCTAAGGCCTTGACCACTCTAACATACAAATGAAAAGCACAATGTGGTCATTTTGGAAAAATGACTGGTTAATTCTCAAGCTATAATGTCTAGTTTAAAAAAAATGCAAGCAGGTAGAATAGATCTGATATCTTAAGAAATAAAAACACAAAATTTCCAATGTGGATTGAAAAAACTATACTAATAAAAAAAATACAGCAATGCTATTTGACACTAAAATATGTAATTGCACAGAAAAAAATAAATCTAGCTGTGATTCATTTCTTTTAAAAAATTATAGAGAATTTGCAGTTTGGTAAGCAGTTACTACTCAGAAATGGGGGAGGGATGACATTTCTGGTCAAATACAATGAAGCATATACACAAAGATAGTATGCCCAGGCCTTCTTAGTATAATTATGCAGTATTTTTAATTATTCACAATGGGGCCTCAACATTTAAAAATGAACCATGTAATACCAAAATGTAGGAAACTGAAAAAAAATTAATGATTATCTAAAAGGAAGATACTTTCATATGAAATTAAAATTTTAAAGGGTTAAGGAAGATTATTCCTGAGTAGACCTTGAATATTATTTTTTTAAGATTGTGTTTACACAAATATATAAAAAGGACTAATGTTATTAAAAATAAGTTTAATGCTATGCAAATATTTTGACACCATTTCTTTTAAACAGTAGGTAATACAACTCACATAAAAGTCTAAGCAAGTAAAAGGAATTGAAAAGGTTTCTTTTTAATTATTTCAAAGAAATTAGAGTGTTTTATTCCAGCACTGTGCAGCTCTAATTAAAGCAGAAATACACATCTGAGTGAACCCCACAAAGAACACTGCTGGTAAAATTTTTATCTGTTTCCATTTCTCTCTTCTAATAATCATACGTGAAGACCTCAAAAGTTATTATATACATATATTAGTCCCACATGAGAAGTAGAATTTACAGAAAAACTAATCTATGACAGCTTTATTTATATTCATGTTTGCTCCTAAAAAAAATAAACTAGAATCATCTGTACAGTACAAATAAAGAAATAATGGTATCTGGGAAACATATAAACAATAGTCAAGAGCTTTTCTATTTTTTAAATTCTTTTACCCTAAATATATGAATTCCAAGTTAACTGGGGAACTGTTAATATAAAATTTTGAACATGAGAAAGCATAGAAGCAGGTTTTCAAATACATCTGTACTAGCAGACTGCTGGCCTCCTTTAGAAAACAAATTCAAGAATTCATTATCCTGAATATCTTCAAGGCTACTTGATGCTGTGTGGTAATATATTTAATTACATTTCCTCAAGGCTTCTTCTAATAGCTTCTTCTAATTCCACATCTGCATTAAAAAAACAGAGAATTTTAATATTTAGGGCAGAAAACTAATAAGCATGTGCTTTATATAAGTCCCATCTCAACTACATCTGTCTTGTCTTTTTTAATATTTTAAAAAGATTTTATGTATTTATTTTTAGAGAGAGGGGAAGGGAGGGAGAAAGAAGGAAACATCAACGCGAGAGGGAAACATCAATCAGTTGCCTCTCATATGAGCACTGACCTGGGACTGAACCTGCAACCCAGGCATGTGCCCTGACAGAGAATCAAACTGGCAACCTTTTGCTTTGTAGGGCAACGGCCGACCAACTAAGCCACAACGGTCAAGGCTACACATCTGTCTTTTCAAGAAATTAAACAAAAATCAAAATGGAGAAACTCTGGATGACAAATTGGGAGTTTCTCCATAGAATCTGAATATTTCAAAATATGAGAATCTGGATATATCCTCAAACTGAGTTATAACATATGTGAACTTACTGTGCTAAGGAACTTGCAAATTACTTCCATTTAGGGACATAGAAAGTCAACAAACTTCTAGAATCACTGATAGGTACTCATTAAATTTAACATTAAAAAATCTATGCGCTTAATTCCAAAAAAACTCGAGGTAATGCATGTAAGATAAAATAGAAGTAGGCAAAACCATGAAATGGTAAAATCTCAGGTTATTAAAATTTTAGTTTTAAGTTTTCTATCATCTGAGGCAAAGACTGAAACTCATGGCTATATATATTTTCTGAGAAGCCTATATTACATACACATATGCACTCATTTAACAAACATTTATCAAATGTCCACTATATACCAGGCACAGAAATACAACAGTGAACAAGAAACATTCCTGGATTCAGAGGTCTCCCCATTTCCTCCCTCAGAATGATGCGAAAGCCCAGAAGGGTAGAATTAAGCGTCAATTTCTTGGCCTAGACTAGCTTCTCACACCAGAGTTATCTCATCCCCTCCAGTGTACGGTCTCCAAAGTCTGCTTGGTTCATAGGACCAGTGATCCCTCAAGGATGCAGCTGGACCTTCCTGAGCTGCCTGTCATTTAGAATACGACAAGCTGGCATATACTGTGTGTTAATTTAAACCTAGATTCCAGGTCAGTGAGTTGCCCTTAGACATATTCAGAGGGGTAAAGAAGTACAAAGAAAAGCCAAGGCGCTCTTAGTAAAGAAGAATGAAAATGACGAGATTTATAAAGATATGAAAACTCATTATGAAGTTACAGTAATTAAGAGTGTGGCACTAGTGCACAGCTAGATGAACAGACCAAAGGAACAGCACAGACATCTCAGAAACAGTTTCCATGCATATATGGAAACTTGAATTATGACAAAGGTGGCACTGCAGAATGGTGGGAAAAGATGGTCTTTTTTTAATTTAATAAATGGTGGTGGGTCAGAAAGCACTATGAAAAAAATGACTATTTGGAATGTACTAAAATTACTTTTATTCATCAAAAGACACCATTAAATGAGGAAAAAGGCAAACCATAGAGTGGGAGAAAGTATATACAATACATGGAACTTGAACCCAGAAAGAACTGAAAGGTTTTAAACCCAGGAAAATCAATAAAAAGGCAATCTCAAAGAACGTTGTCAAGAAATTTGAAGGCACTGACAAAACACTGTCAAAATGGTCATTAAATATTATGCATCAGAAAAAATGTAAATTAAAACCACAAAGAAATACCAGTACATGCCCATCACCAGCTAAAATTAAAAAGACTAAATAATTTCAAAAACTAGTGAAGCTATGGATCAATGGGAACTCATATATACTAGTGTAATGAATGAAATTAGAACTACTTTAGAATAATCTTGCATTACTTACTAGAGTTGAACATAAGCAACTTCTAGGTATATATGTATTCCCAGAAATGTGGACATATGTGCACCAAGAGACACGTATGAGAGTGAGAGTGTTCTTAACAGTGTTATTTGTAATATCCAAAAGTACAAACCAAATGACTATAAATAATAAATGAATTGTGATATGTACATAGAATAGATTATACAGGTTTTGGAAATGAACAAATCAAAATATGCTATCTGCATGAATATGTAAAACAGTGCTGACTGAAAGAATCCAAACACAGAATACAGACCATGCCTATGCTATTTAATATGATGCACACAGTCAACAGACTAACCCCCAAGATAATCAAGCAATGAGAATTAGCAGGAAAGGGTTTTAGCAAAGTTATATTTTCAAAGACTTAAGGATGAATGGAGAGGAAATCTCAACAGAGATATAAAAAGTATACAAAAAACTCAACTAAATAGGAATTCTAGAACTGAGAAATTAAACATATAAAATGGAAAATTCACTGGGTGAGTTTAGCAGTGGAGGCAGCAGAAGGATCAATAAACTTGAAGGTTGAAATTATGCAAAATGAAGAGGAAAAAAGGTTTGAAGAAAACGAACAAATGTGTATATTTAAGCTGCCTAACACATGTGCAACTGGAGTTTCAAAAGAAATGGATACAGAAAGTGAAGCAAATATTAAGAAATAACAAGGACTTCAGGCCAAGATGGTTGCATAGGTAAGTATAGCTCGCCGCCTCGCACAACCTCATCAATTACCACTAAAATACAGAACAACCATCACTGGGAACCATAAGATATCGAGGTGAATGGAAGTCCAACAACATTGAAATTAAAAAAACCACATCCATCCAGACTGATAAAAGAGGCACAGATGCGGAATACGCTGATCCCACACCCACATATGGTGGATAAAAATTCGGGAGGGTTATCTCAGGAGTGAGGACTCCCAACCCCACACCTGGCCCCCGAGCCCAGGATTCCACTGCCAGGAAGATAAGTCCCCACAACTTCTGGCTGCAAAAACAAGCTGGGATTGAGTCAGTGGAAGAAACTTCTGGAGTATCAAGAAGTTTCTCTTTAACGCACACAATGACTTACTCAGACTCATTCCTTCTGAGCTCCAGTACCAGGGAAGCAGCTTGAAAGGCACCAGTGGCATACGAGGAGAATACAAGGAGAATCTGAAGTGTCTGGCCTCAGGGCGAGAGCTGCGGGACACCTTTCTGCCAGATGGAAGGGTGGGCAGAGACCATTGTGCCTTTTCTGAACCCTTGTCCCAAGAGCCCCAGAGCTCACAGGCTGGTGCCATATTTGAGACTTCATCAACATGGCTAACACTGTTTGCCCCACCCTGGAGATGCCCAGACACTTAAGTTAGGGTCCCATCTAACTTATGGACCCACCCAAGCTACTTTTCCATATGAATGGCTGGTCTTAGTTCATGCTTCACAGCTTCCTAAATCTTCTCAAACAAGCAACAGCCAGCCCCAGTAAGCCCCCAGCCCTCATACCTCTGCTAAGTGGCCCCAGGCCCAGCACTAGCAGCAAGCAGCCTAAATTCACAGCTTGGCTTCATCTGAGAATCTCCAAGCTGGGGACAAGTAGCAACCATCTCAGATTGCTTTATGGCTCAGGCAGGCTGGCCCTGAACAAAACACAGGTGGAAGTTTAGTTGGCCTGCACCATCTAAACTTGGCCTGCACCATCCAGGAATCCCCAGAAGCTGTGCACCCAGTGGACAGCTTCAGACCACATCAGAGCACCATCACCCTGCCCCTGTACAGCTGATCCTCCACGAAGGACAGAGGTCAATAGCCAGGGGTCACAGCCAGTCCTTGCAGCTGACTGGCCTGGGTAAATCCCTCCCACTGATCTGCCAACAGCAACCAAGGCTCAACTACAAGAGAACAGCGTATTCAGCCCACACAAAGAACATACCTTGAGTACCCAGCTTGGGTGACAGGGGAGGCTGTGCCACTGGACCCTACAGGACACCTACTACATTAGGCCACATTACTAAGACATGGAGTCAAAGTAGCTCTACCTAATACCTAATAGAAACAAACACTGGGAGGCTGCCAAAAAGAGGAGACAAAGAAACATGATCCAAATGAAAGAACAGATCAAAACTTCAGAAGAAGAACTAAACAAAATGGAGATAAGCAATCTATCAGATGCAAAATTCTAAACACTTCAAAACACTTATTGTAGTAAGCATATGCCAGGAACTTAGGACCTCACAGGATAAAAAAGATCCAGTCAGAAACAAAGGAGGCACTAATTGAAATAAAGAACAACTTACAGGAAAACAACAGTAGAGTAGATGAAACTGACAATGAAATCACTGATTTGGAACTTAAGTAGCAAAAACCAACCAATCAGAACAAGAACAAGAAGAAAAATGGATGCAAAAAAAAATGAGGATTGTGTAATCAGCCCATGAAACAACTTTCACAGAGCTCCAACATTCACCTCAAAGGGACGCCAGAAGGAAAAGAGAAAGAGGAAGAAATTGGAAATCTATTTTAAAAAATAATGAAAGAAAACTCCTCTAATTTGGTGAAGGAAATAGACATTTAAGTCGAGGAAGCACAGAGTCCCAAACAAGATGGATACAAATAGGCCCTCCAAGACACATCATAATTAAAATACTAAAGGTGAAAGATAAAGAGAGAATCTTAAAAGCAGTGAGAGAAAAGCAGCTAGGTACCCACAGGGGAATTTCCATAAGAGTATCTGCTGATTTCTCAAAAGAAACTTTGCACGCTAGAAGGGATTGGTAAGAAATATTCAAAGTCATGAAAAGCTGGGACCTACAGCCAAGAGAGCTCTACCCAGCAAAGACATCACTTAGAATTGAAGGGCAGACAAAGAAAAAACTAAAGGAGTTCATCATCACCAAATCATTATTATATGAAATGTTAAAGGGACTTATTTAAGAAAAAGATCAAAACTATGAACAATAAATTGGCAATAAAAACATATTTATCAACAACTGAATCTAAAAAACAAACTAAAGGAACAAGAGCAGAGACGGAATCATGGATAGAGAGAGCATTGGCTGTCGGATGGGAGGGGTTTGAGGGAGAATGGATGACGAGGCGAGGGGATTAAGAAGTACAAATAGGTAGTTACAGACTAGCCATGGGGATATAAAGTACAGTTTAG